GTGTGTGTGTGTGTGAGTGAGTGAGTGTGTGGGAGTGTGTGTGAGTGTGTGGGAGTGTGTGTTGCTGCAGGTGTGTGTGTGTTTGTGTGTGTGTGTGTGGTCGTGTCACCTGAGGTGAGCTCACGCTAGAGGCCTGTAGCGCCTGCTGCAGCGCGTGACTGAACAGACTGCTGCTGACGCGAGCTCCTGACGCTCCGCTGGAAGACACCTCCTGCAGAGTATTACACACAGACAAGAAATGAAAGACATCTGACTCCTGTTTAAGCATCAGTGAGTAGATGCTGTGTTTTCTGGATCAGCTGATGTGAGTGTGAGTACCTGGCATCTCACTGAAGGAGGTGGAGGCAGGGTTTCGTGAGGAGCTGCTGCCGGTCACGGAGTGCAGGACCAGGATGATGGCGTTGACTAGCGCCGGGTGAGACTGGATCAGCCTGTGTGAGGTGATGGAGATCATGTTCACGGAGGCTCTGTGAGTGAGCGACTGTGTCTGTGTGTGTGTGTTCAGGAGACTCACATGTCCAGCAGCTTGGGGTCTGTGAACTGAACGAACAGATCCTTATCCTGGAGCACACCTGCAAAATCATGATGAGCTGATGAGAGACGGACCGAATCAAACCCACGAGCTGCCATGTGCTGCACACTCATCCTACCTAAAGCCACGGGGTCAGAGCTGAGTCCCGGCGAGGCCACGATGATCTGCTCCAGAGACTCTTTATTAGCCAGCATCTTAAACACCTGCAACCCACGCGAGTATGATTAACTGATTTAATGTTTGCTTGTTTCTTCATATAAACAAGTTTGCAACTTGGTGACTTTTGTGGCACTTGATATATGAACAGGAAAATAAATAAATACAATAAATAAATAATAAAGTCACTGACATGATTAGACAAAGCTAAATGGTCTTAAAAATAGACACATGGTCAAAATGAAAAACCATCATAGGAAATGAATGGGAAATACAAAAATTACATACAAGTTTTGGTCTACAATGAACAAATCACCCACAATGAAGCATTCTTTAAAATTGTCCAAATATATATATATATCAAAATGAAAAATGTATATAATTTAATAATTGTATATTATATATATACAATTTACAATTTAAATATATGTGTGTGTGTGTGTGTTTCTTTATTTTTATACATTTAAATAAAATAATTTTAAATGCATCTATTTAGAAATTGTTGGTCTACTATCTACAAATCAACCATTTTTCAAAATATATATAAAAATGAAAAATTAATAATTGTATATATATACATATATATATATATATATATATATATAATGTATGTATGTATGTGTGTTTCTATATTTTTATTTGCATTAAGTTTTTATTTATTTTAAATACCTTTAATATATATTTAACTTAAACACTATTAAATGAAAAAACTTTTTTTATATATATATATTTGTATTATTTTACATAGAAATAAATGATGCATAATTTAGATGCAAATATTGTATAGTACAAGTAAATTCCCTCAAAATACAAAATATTAAATAAATATTACTGAAACAAAATATACTGCATCAATTTCAAGAATAATTATATAAATGAATGAATGAATGTGGAATACCAGAGGGTTTAAAAAGAAACGTGTTAAATCAGTATTCACACTATGTACAGTTGCAATTTGCAAATTCTTTCAAACATTTATTCTGTAGTTTATTGTGGACTCAGTAATGAAAAAAATGTTCATGTTGCTCTATTCTGACTTTGCTTTCATTCGGACATTTATTCAGCAGAATTTTCATTTATGAGTGAAAGGTAATATGTGAGCCTGCAGCACAAAAGCAGTGTTAAGTCGCTGGGGTATATTTGTAGCAATAGCCAACAATACATTGTATGGGTCAAAATTATACATTTTTCTTTTATGCCAAAAATCATTAGGATATTAAGTAAAGATCATGTTCCATGAAGATATTTTGTAAACTTCCTACCGTAAATATATCAAAACTTAATTTTTGATTAGTAATAAACGTATAAACCTCAATTTCGAAAAATTGACCCTTATGACTGGTTTTGTGCTCCAGGGTCACAAATGTTGAGTGAACATTCTGAAGCGAGTACCGCGTCTCTGTAGGTTCCGCTGGAGAGCAGAGCAGCCTGAAGCGTCCTGAACTCTCGGGCAGCAGCAGATCTGTTCACCGGCTCTGTGTGAGGACGACAAACACACAGACTCAGCATCACTGACACGCACCTTCACAGACTGGAGTCGTATCTCATCAGAGCTCAGCTGCGAACACACCAGGCTCGACCTCCGGCTCCGGCCACGTCTTCTTGATGATATGAAGCGTTGATCCAGACTTGATCCCGTAGGAGTCTAACGTCAGATCATCCTTCAGCACGCAGCCGCAGTGCACAAAGTCTGAAAGCAGAAAACAGCAGCGTCAAACACAGCTTCTGAACGGACGCCAGTGATGCTCCTGAAGCAAGCCCACCTATGAGCTCAGGGTCGGGCAGTGCGTCCGAGAGCTGCGCTGAGATCAGCTGCTTGAGCGTCGACACCTGGTAGCCTCCTGGACGCACGTCTCCGGGTTCAGTGTCTGGAAACTGAAACACTTCCTTGGGTTTGTCGCTGAGTTTCAGGGAGAGATGCCATGCTGAGCTCTCCATATCCTACACCAGAGAGAGAACGTTTGGGATTAGTAAGACTTTATTAGTTTTTAAAGAAGTCTCTTCTGCTCACCGAGGCTGCATTTATTTGATTGAATATCTGTTAAACTGTAATTTATTTCTGTGATGCGCAGCTGTATTTTCAGCATCATTACTCCAGTCTTCAGTGTCACATGATCTTCAGAAATCATTCTAATATGCTGATTTGCTGCTCAAGAAACATTTCTGATTATTATCAATGTTGAAAACAGCTGTGCTGCACAATATTTTTGTGGAAACTTTGATACTTTTTTTCAGGATTCTTTGATGAATAAAAAGTTTAAAAGAACAGCGTTTATTCAAAATAGAAACATTTTCTAACAATATCCACTACCGTTCAAAGATAAATTAATAGTTTTAGTCAGCAAGGATGTGTAAAATTGATTAAAAAGTGACAGTAAAGACTTATATTGTTAGAACATATTTCTATTTGATTTCTATTCTATTTGATAATAATCAGAAATGTTTCTTGAGCAGCAAATCAGCATATTAGAATGATTTCTGAAGATCATGTGACACTGAAGACTGGAGTAATGATGCTGAAAATACAGCTGCGCATCACAGAAATAAATTACAGTTTAACAGATATTCACATAGAAAACAGTTATTTTAAATAGTAAAAATATTTCACAATTTTACTGCTTTACTGTATTTTTGATCAAATAAATGCAGCCTGGGTGAGCAGAAGAGA